GGGGGGTTGGATGGCCAGTGAAACGTCTTCAAGAAAAATACAGCAAGTCCAGTTGCCTTGACTTATTTTTTACAGATATACCATGTGACCTGGATGAATGAGAACCTTTACAGACATAGTTTCTTAACTTCTTTTGGAAAATAAAGATATAGACAATTACACAGGCATATAATAAGTGTCTTTAATCATGGTATCCCAGGAGCTAACACTTTAGTATTCAACAGGCATGGCTCAAGTAACATCTACTTAATTTAATTTTTTTTTTACAAAGTTGCCATAATATATCCATAGGAAACGAAGAAGGAAAACTCTTCGGTACCCCGGGGAAATTTATCAGGAAAGGCAAATTTAATTAAAGGATTTTGTCTCTAAGGACTCTGGGTAATTTCCATTACCGGCAGATAACTGTTAAACAAACCTCAGTGCATGTTAGACTAGTATATAGCACGATACGTCTGTATCAGTGCGTAACTTCTTACCAGGAACGTCTTGCTTGGTTCTCCCTCGCTGATCTTTCTGAATGAATAGAAAATAATTATTTCCTCAGGAACGCCAATACATTCGGTAGCCCACGCGAAGGAAACGGCATGCAAACAAGTGTAAACAGAACGTTGTCATAAAATACAGAAATGTATTTTGGAAATAATATTTGAGTCATTGAGCTAGTGTAGAGTTAGTTATCTGGAACAAAGTTCTTGGCAGGGGGATAGGATCAACCTAGCTGTGGTTGTCTGGGGAAAAGACTGGAATTGATGATGTTAAAGGGTCAGGGTTCCGTGTTGCTGAGTTTTTAAAGCATGGGTAGCAAACTCCGGCCCTCCAGCTGTGGTGGAACTACAAATCCCATGAGGCATTGCAAGATTCTCACAGCCACAGACATGACTCCCGAAGAGAGATGCATCATGGGATTTGTAGTTTCACCACAGCTGGAGGGCCGGAGGTTTGCTACCCCTGTTTTAAAGCCTTCCGGAAATACAGAGAACTTTGTGCGGGAGTGATATGCATATCACATTACCATGGGCAACTTAAAGAGGACCTAAACTGTGAAAGCAGTGCCTAAGTAAGCCAAAAAATTAAGTACCGGTATTGCCTGCGTTCTTCCTACAGCTGATCCTTTCCCCATTACTTACTTACTATGCCTTGTTCTACACTTTGTCTTCGTGTGGAGGCAACCATCTTGGCAGAGGTAGGTCTTTTTTTTTCTTTATGTCAGAGCTACTGTGACAGACCTAGGGCTTCAGAGATTTATTACCCCGGAGAACTTTGTTTGCCTGTTTTTAATATTTTATCTAGAGAGAGAGCATGTCACTATTTTCTTAAACCATCTCTGCTAAATGTATTTTTGTGAAGACAGCAGGCTGTCTGGAGTGGGCATTGTTTAAGTTGATGTGATCAAGCTCTCATCTGATTAAGGACATTCATTATGTTCAAAGAGTGTCTGTGCTTAACCCCTTCATGACGGGAGACGTACACTGTACGTCCCGCCACAAAGGGACCAAATGACTCGTCACATACACTGTACGTGACGAGTTATTTGCTGCATTAGATGGCTGGTAACCGCTGAGAATCAGCGGTTACCATTCATTAATGGATGCCTCAGTATAGAGGCATTCATTAATAAAAGGGTTAACCTTTTTCAGACACCTGATACCTTAATATCGGGTGTCTGACAGTCAAAGCAGAGCCGCAAACATGCCGGCAAAAGCCGGCATTCTGACAGCTTGTATAGATCTAGACATACTTTATCTCTCTCGGATCGTATACTGGCTTTTTTTTTGTCACTTTCAGGATAGATACATAATGTATCTATTCCTGAAAGAAGAATGTTTCAGTTTTCTGATCGTTGTTGGAACGTTCAGAAAACCTATAGTGACAGCTGAATCCTGAACTGCTGCAGGATCAGTGTCACTAACTTATTATTGGCTGTTCTGAAGTTTAAACAGGCTAATAATAACCAAAAATGTATTAATTTATCAAGCAGTAATAGTGAGATTAATTTACGATGACTGCTTGATATAATTTAATAAATAAAATAAAAATGTTAAAAGTTTTTTTAAAAATAGTGAAAAGTGTAAAAAAAATAGTGAAAAGTGTAAAGAAAAGAAATTAAAAATAAAGGACAAATAAATTAATGTATTTATTGAATTTTTTTTTTTTAGCTGTGCAGGTTTTTTTAAAAAATACTACAAATCAAAACTGGGAAAAAAACTGTTGGTTTTTTTTACATTTTTTCCTCTTTTTTTATATTTTATTTGTCTTAAGTGAGGCGTTAGACACACATATGTGATATAAATATGTAGCCCTATCTGTCCTCTAAAAAACAATATATAATATGTGTGGGTGCACTTTGTAAGAAAGTATATTACTGACGTGGAAGAATCACACAGCAAAAATTTCAAAAGTGTCTCAATCATTTACGAACAGAAACTAAAAACAAGCTCAGTCATGAAGGGGTTAAGGAATTCCAATGCAGGCACCCGGCTGTCCGGGGGAGGGAATTGTTCGAAATAAGACACTAAACACTTATCTGATTCTGTGAGGTATAAACTCTGTGTGCTTTCTTCAATAAACCAGTTCATGTTTTGACTCCAAAGTCAGTGTTGTCTGATTCTTGGGGTAAGCCCATGCTATATTCACTTGCTTCTGGTTTCAGCACCCAGGGAACAGGCGGAGTAATCCAGTCGGGGTATCAGGGAGTCCGTCCCAGCTACCCTCTGATGACTGGAGATCTGATGACTGGTGGGGAATGATCAAGAAGCAGCATGAGAGATGCAGGAGTTACAGATCTACAGAATGGATGGCACCAATGCAGGGATATCCTTGCACAGCAGGTTCTCAGGTGCATCTTTCTCTCCAGCAAAAAGAACAGTGAGCAGCACAGTAGTGACATCGCCAAATCGCATTCCAAATCTGGTGAGACTAGGAGTCAGCGCCTTAGATCTCGCCCCGGTACCTCTGGCACTGACTGGAGGGTTGGATGGGGGAGGGGGTGGGCACAGGTGACAGGGTGGTTCCCGACTATTTTTATGGATTCTTCCTGGCCACAGCCCAGCTCTGTGCTGTCAGCATTTAGCGGGTAGAGGTTGGCTTAAGAGGGCGCGCATCGTGTGCCTATTGCCACTCCCTGTACCTGGAGGTAGTGGGTTTCATTGAAAAGAAAATATTGCATGCCAGGATACACTGAGGCTCCTTGGGTGGGCGCGTGTCTTCTCTGCTCATGCTTTTGCTTGTCATCATTTGGTGTTCACCCAGATGGATCCAGTAAGTTCTATTTTCCTTCTGCGGATATAGGGAGTGCTGTATCTTCACATTAAAGCTAGGCTCACACATAGGAGTTTGCAGTTTTTGCGCAATTTTTTTTGCGCATTTTTGCTTTTCAAAAGCTTCTGTTCCCTTTCCTTCCCTCTACCCAAAGTAAATCAATTTATTTGTAAAGATATTCCTGAAATGAAACATACATTTCACGTTGCTTGATTTCTTTGTGTTTTATTAGGCAGAACTTGGAAAGACGAAGAAAAGGTGCTTCTCTTTACCTGGACCGGACTTTACCTATGGGCTGAATAGTTTTCTGAAAGAAGGAGGTGTGGCTGCAGGTATGTCACTGGGATTATTACGCATATGCAGAGCTTAGCAAATACAATGCAATTGCAAACTGTAATACTTTTTGTATGATGGATGCAAGAGACATTTTAACCATTTCAGTTCCCACAGTATATATTCCTTTCAGTATATATATTCCTTATGGAGCAGAACAATTTTGTGGGCCTGCTTAAGCAATAACTTTGTCATTACCTATGAGCTTATGACATCAAAGGAATACATACTGTATATTGTTGGGTTTTTTGGGGGGCAAACTGTCAGGGAACAAGAGGTGTCACCTCTCCTCGGGGCTGCCGGGTACGCTACAGGGCACGGGGGCTCCTTCAGCTTGGCAGAACTCCTGGCGCCGAGGTTGCAGGTGCGCATGCGCAAGATGCGCGGCGGTAGACAGACTGCACACGGGGGGCGCGAGTAGCGTGCCTGTGCCCATCAGTGCCGTCATGTGTGGACCTAGCTGGGGGAGGTTCCCAGTGCACACCTTCCTTCCCTCTCTTCCTGCCATTGGCTCCCGGATGGAGAAGCCTCCAGGTTGCCTTGGTGACCACGGAGTGGCTTTGATTCCCCTTGCTATAAAACCTGGTCAGAGCCCTGGCTTGTTGCTGAGTTATTCCACCTCTATGGTGTGATCACCTAGCCCCTTTATTTGTTCCTGCTGCCGTTTCCTGAACCCTCAGCCGAACTTCCTGATTACCGACCCATTGGCCTGTCTACCGCTTCTGAACCTTAGCTGCCTGCCTTGACCCGGACTGGACTTGACTACCCCTTTTGGATTTGCCCTCTCGTACCTCTCTCTTGGATCTTCCGGTCCACTTCCTGCCAGTGGGTTCCTACACCCGCTGCGAGTCGGCGGCACCGCCTGACACAAACAAGGGTTAATTTTTATTATGTTGCAAAAATTATTTTAGATTATATACAATCTGTGAGCAAAAAGGAGTAATAAAAAACAAAACTTTTTTTTTATAAATTGGCCAGTGATAGTTTTAAAACAATGAATGCTACTGTAGATAAAAGTACAATGTTTACTCTACAATTTTGTCCCATTTAAAAAAAAAAAACCCAAACATTAATATTATTCTTCTGGTGTAGAGCTTCGAGAAGTTATTTACACATAAAATAACGGCTTTTTTACATGTTGTGTATTTTTTTTAAAGCTTCAAAAACAAGACGAATAAGAATTAAAAACAAAAAAGCATCTATAGGGGAGAAAAGAGTTGATTTACGGTTAATAGGGGTTACATTTGAATCATTTTTATTTAAAAAAACACATTACTTTATTTGTAGGGTTACTTATAATTAAAGGAGAACTATGAGGTGAGTGCTTTTTACTCACCTCATAGTTCTAGCCGACCTGTGACAATGAGACTGTCACAGGTCGGCTCAGTGAGCGAACACATACCGGCGTTCGCTCACCTCTCGATCCTGTCACGGCTCTCTGCCGTGACAGGGGAGGGGCTGGATTCCCCCCTCCCGCTCCGATCCGCCAGCGCTCATTGGCGGAACGGTCGGGGGAGGTTGCTGGTACAGCTGGCTCTGCCTCTAGATGGGCAGAGCCAGCTGTCAGTCACGCAGCTGGGCGTATCCCGTTGGTGGCAGTAAGTGCCTGTAAGCAGATTCCCGGCTACTATTGTATTCTGTTTATATGTGTAAATCCGACTGATAGATCCAAAGTTATTCCAGGGGCTCTGACACCCCAAAAAATGTCCCCTGGCCCCTTGTACACGCACATACTGATGCAAACACACATCGAATACAATGATTGCGCCACAAATGTTAGATATTGCCCTGTATGCTGGAGTGAGAGCAATAATACCAGGGCCATTATTCAGGATTAGCTCCAAATAGATGACTTGTAAAAGCTTTTAAAGTGTCGTCTATAGACAATTTTGGGTACCGTAGTTTGTCTGCTTGACATGTTTGGTATCTATTTACTCAGTGCAACCTCCTCTTTTATATGTTAACAAACAATTGTTTTATATTGTTTTTATGTGCATTAAAATGAACTTAAGGGTATTTGGGTTTGATAAACAGTTGCGCTATCATGCAACATAAAAAATTGCAATTGCCACTTTTTATTCTACAGGGTGTCTGTTTTTTGCAGATAATATTATTAATGGGGGGGTGTTAAGTAATGTTTAGGCCTAAAATGTGCTTTTTAACATGCGCGCAAAAATGGCTCTGCCCGCGAAAGGGTATGAATGGCTCAGCCGACACTTGCACTGATTGCATGGTTTTGTTTTGGGTTTTTTTTGTCTGCCTTCTGCTGCTTTAGAATACTTAAATGGTTTGAAATTGTTTTGTTTTTTTAAATCTGTTCTGTTTTTGTGTTTTCTTTTTCTCTGTAATCAGCAATAGGTCACTGGCAGGTGGTGGAAGCAAAAGCCCGGCAGAGAAAATTAGAACGTCACTATGTTGCCCTCAACCGTGAAGCTGTAAAATCTGGTCTCGTGACAGCAGCTGAACATCAAACATTCCGCAACACTCACAACATCTGGCGCCCCAATGAAAGGCGGGTCAAAGATCTAACCCTCCCCATACCTCCCGGCATGACCTTTGGCATCCCCAACAGGTAAGTGCTGGAGTGGATTGCCAATTTGTTCCAGGTCAGCTATGGACATGTTTATCTTTATTGCAGCTCCTTACCTCCTTTTCTTTTGTAGATATTAAGGCAGGCCATCCCAGTGCACTTACTAAAAGTAAATGCTGAGGTCCCCTTTACAATTTCATGGTGCTCTCTGTTACTACATGCACATTACCACACAGCAGGGGCGGAACTACCGCCGGTGCGACCGCCCCGGGGCCCAAGGCAGTTGAGGGGCCCACTGAGGTCCGGTCCCCAACTTCTTCTGCAGGGAGGAACACTAGAAGGGGGACTGAGCAGGTGCCCGTTGAAAACGGCCGCTGCAGCGTCGATCACTCTTCTCATTGAAAGGAGAGAGCTGAGAAGAGTGATCGCCGCTCTTGATCACTTAAGCCGGCACACAGTAGTGACAGCTTCACATTCTTCTCCTCTTTGGCTGCTGCAGCCACAGAGCGACCGAGGGGAGAAGAATCTGTACAGCTGTCACTACCAGGTGCGTAGACAAGGGGGGTTTAAACCCATTAAAGCCTTTCCAGTGACCAGGAGCAGAAGGGCAATCAGGTAGCAGGGGCTGGGGAGCAGGGCCACCATCAGGGGGGGACAGCCAATACTCATGTGAGGGTCCTGGTGAGCCCTGAAGTCTTACATGGGTATTGGCAGTACAGGTGACACATGAGGTGGAGGCGGCTGGGCCGGGCCCCCGCAGTGCCAGGCTGCTTTGGAGGAGGCTGGGCCCCAGCAGCGGAGGAGGAGGCTGGGGCCCCAGCTGCTCCAGGATAGTGGCAAGAGATGGCGGCGGGCGCCTGGCTGTGAGGAGAGAGCTGGTGGGAGGCGAAATCATATCAGCCTGCAGGCACACTTTGGGGCAGCGCTGGGGCCTCGGCCAGGAGGAACGAGCAGCAGACACTTGATTTCAGAGCCCACCACCTCTCCCTGCTGCATGTGTTCCCACCGCGAGGACGGTCAACGTGTGCCGTGAGTCACATTGTTTGTAACCCTCTGTAACTGATGGAATTGTTCTACATTTATGTATAAAGTATTGCTGGGAGTTGTAGTCCTCTATAGCTGGTGCCATTCTGCATTGCAGCAGTGGAGAATGGCATCAGCTATAGAGGACTACAACTCCCAGCAATACTTTATACAGAAATGCAGAATGGTAACGGCTATAGAGGACTACAACTTCTAGCAGAACTTTATACGGCAATGCAGAATTCCAAACGCTGTATAAAATATCGATGGGAGTTGCAGTCCTCTATAGCCGAAGCCATTCTGCATTGCTGTATAATGTATTGTTGTGACTTGTAGTCCTCTATAGTAGTGGTCAACAACCTTTTTCTGAATCAGGACCAGTTTAGCTGAAAAATGTTTTCCACGAAGCGAGAGGGCGGGGGGTGACACAGGCATTGCTACATATTATCCCTTGTGTTAACGGTTGTTGCATTAAGGCACCAGATTAATGGACTGCTGCACCCCATTGCACCTTGATGCACCCCAGCGAACTGAAAACAGGAACAGAAAGTATACAGCACCGCAGATCCACTGCCTTAGTGCACTACACCACACTAACCCATGGATGCTGCATTACCGTTGACAAAAAGCCAGCCAAAATATCTGTCTGCTGTGTTAATCAGATTATTATTACTACTGTTGTATTAAGAAAAATGTCATCTAGAATGCATTATTCATTTTAGAATTCTATTATTGGGAATCTGTCACTTTGCTCATTTATTCAGAATAACAGGTTTTGTTGACACTCTTCAACCTAGTGATACTCTCACCACAGTCTTGTTCCTCAGACCTGCAAGAGGCCTGAGATCCCTGTGTGAGCTCCTCTGCATCTCTCAGTGTTGGAGCTTTCACTGGGTTATTGACCTTCTCCCCTACCCCATGTGAATGTGTTTGGTGCCTGGTGATTGGCCTCTCAGTTTCAAGCGTTTTATGCTGGAAGAGATAGGGAGAAGGTCAGATGTGCCCCAATATCAAGGAGTACCAGGTATTTACCAAAGCTCAAATAGACTATTGGAATGGTGGGGGAATGTGGCAAAGGGGAAGGTCAGCAGGACAGGGAAGGAGTTATTACCGTAGGAGAATCTGTCACTTTGCCCTTAATGTGCAAAATAAAAGGTTCCATTTAAAAATCATTATATGTATATTTACATCAGCTACCTGGCTGACACAGATTTGTACTGATGTGACTGCTGACCCCGTGTTCAGTGGGTCCCTGTGTGCCTTCCACTTTTCTAGGCGAGAGGCTCCTCAGCCTCCCCATAGCGCAGCATTGTCAGCTCTGGCGCCAAGCAGCCATTCAAAATATGCTGCCCGGCGCCGAGTGTCAGCTGGAGGTGGAGAGGGCTCTGAGTATGGCCGCAAGGGAGCTTCATCCATACGTGCATTGCTTACAACTCCATCACGTGTCCTGTAGAGGTGCCTGAACCGGAGTGACACCGCATTCTGGCTCCCGCCACCTCTACAGGGTGCACAAGGGAGCTGTACAAGCAATGCTCATATGGATGGAGTTCCGCCACAGCATAGTGGCCCACACTGGACCCCAGGCTGAGGATCCACTCCAGTACTCGTAAGGTAGGGAGACTGGGTGGACCTTAAAAAAAAAATGCAACATTTTTTGGAGTGTGTATGTGTGAGAATGTCTGTAAGTGTGTGAGATTGTGTCTGTGATTGTGTATGTCTGTGAGTGTTTTTGAGGGTCTGTTCACAATCGTACAGTGTGTTAATTGCATAGTAATGTACGGTAACGGTACCACGCAATCGCACCTGCAATGCATTCTGGAGGTGTGTTGTGTTGCCATTCATTTGAACATTACCCCAAACACACCTCCCGCCCACAGTTCGTACACTCGCACCAGAACGCGCGGTACCCTAATGCCGTGTGACTTGGGTCGCGACTTAATGACCAAGGAAAATGTGGGTCCTAAGGTTACACAGGTTGAGAACCATTGTCTTAGAGTCAGAAAGACAGAAAATTATGGGAACTGCCAAAACTTCACAGTTGTTACTGAAACAGGAGGTGAGGGAAACCTTCCAGTGGGGGAGACAACTTTCTAATCGTTGATAGGGTGAAATCATTGATAGATTTCAACCACTGTGACCAAGAAAAAATCAAAGGAGCAGCATGGTCATTTTTTGCCAAACAAAATTCTAACAGTGAATGTGGCTTTCGTTTAGGAAACTCCATTCATTCCAAAATCGGATGTTGAATGAAAACAGAAATCAAACGAAATGTAAAAAAAGACAATCACCAAGTCTCTGATGCAATTATTGAATGTTCCGGAGAGAGTTTTCATATGAACGTTTATCTCGCTTTGGCAAGGTTTCCTCTCACTTCCTGTTGTGTCTCTAGGACAGGAAGTGAATGGACATAAACAGTTAAAATAACTGACAAGAGATCCTAACTATTCCCAGCTCTATAAATAAATGTGTTTTTTTAGATATTCTTTAAAGAGGAACTTCAGGATTTACTACGATTTACCCTTGCAGTGGGGCTACCCCAGCACTGCAAGGGTTAAGGGCTTGTTTTGGTCTAGGGGCTGAAATAAATAGATATACTTAAGGCCTTGTTTACACCGAAAGCAGTGCGTTCCAGAGCGGTAGCTGCTGGAACGCACCATGATTGCCTACGAGGCTTTCGTTAGCGATCACGGTGCGTTCCAACGGCCACGGCTCTGGAACGCACCGCTTTCAGTGTGAACAAGTCCTAACTGGTCCCTCAGCCTCTTTTTCCCCGGGCACTGGTGATTTAAGGACCACTGACGTCATCACATCTTGGAGGAGTGGAGGGGGAGAGAAGTAAGCACTGACCGCCACAGGACCAAGGATCAGGTGAGTATTTCTTCTATATTTTGCTACCTAGACCACTAGACCAAAACGAACACTTAACCCTTGCAGTGCTGGGGTAGCCCCACTGCAAGGGTTAATTTGAAAACATTCTGGAGTTCTTCTTTAAAGCCACCAAAATCGTTTATCAACTTAAAATGTGGTGCTGAGACTTATGAGTCCTATAAAGAGAAGCTCCCATTTTCATTGTACACACAAAAAGTCACTAACATTATTTCCATTCAAACTTGAAAACCACTTTAATAAAACATTTTTGTGTTATTAACAAGACACACCAATGAAAATATCCCTTTAAAACACGTTTCCGTTGCTTTAAAGCTTTTAAAGTGATAGGCATCTTATCTTTCTCAGTGTGAATCCTGTTTACTTTTCTCTATCTATTCCCAGATTGGCAACACTGAAAAGATAATATGCCCTGATGGGTTCCTTTACCCCCGCTGTAAATACATTCATAGGTTGCCTCTTAAAAGCTTCCTGATGCCCAGAAAATTTCTCACCAGGGTCCCGTTCTGAAAAGTGCTTTACAGCCATGTTCAACTGCACACCCCAAAATTATGTTCTTTCATATCTGCTTGTTGGGTCACAGAGGCCAAACATCTCACATTAACACTTCTAAGGCAAAGCATGGCACTTTAGCTAAGAGCACACAGAGGTGGTCTGTTATCATCGAGGGGGCCGACAGATTGGCCAGCATGTTTACAGCACTAAAATGACCTTGTTATCTATTTATCAGACTTGGAACAACAGATATCCAGGGGTGAGCCATGAGCAGCCAGGAAAAATGTCTTCAAAACCACAGAAACTACTAAGAAAAACAATAACAGAGCTTCTACTTTTCTGACCAATGGAAAATGCGTATTGCCTACACGTTTAAAGTAGTACTGGACCCAAACAATGTTTTTAGTTTTGGATGGAGTAAGGAAGAGTTATAATTCCTGTCTGCTTTTATTTTGAAATCTGTGTCACATTGGGGAGATTTCACTTTACTTTCTGTCCAATTTCCACAACAGGAAGGGAGAGAATATCCATCCAAAGAGAGAAAAATGCCCAGTTGTCAGCAGGGTCACCAGAACTAGTGTCCCCTTTGAAATATTTCCCATTTATTCTTCTGATGACAACCCAAAATTTTGGTTGTC